GAGAAGGGCGGCATACAAATAATAAAATTCAATTCAATTCAATCTAACAAAATGCTTTCTAAAAATAAACCTATTGGTTTTGCCCAGTTTTTTTCATTCTTCATCTGTTGGGGAGAATTTTTTTGGCAAATTTGTCTGATTTTTGTATTACTTTTTATCAACTCTTTGACTGGAGAGCTAGTCTTTACTAGAAATGAATGAATGCTCTGTCACAAAAAATTTACTGATAGTGATTTTAACCTTCTATTAGTTATTGTTTAAAATCTCCATTCAGTAAGAGGGGCCTGAAGGTTGTGTGGTAGTAATGGGGTAATTTATTTATTTATTTATTTTGTATCCCACTTTTATTATTTTACAAATAATTCAAGGCAGTGAACATATCCAACACTTCCTCCTCCTATTTTCCCCATAACAACAAGCCTGTGAGGTAGGCTGGACTGAGTGTGACTGCCTCAAAGTTACCCAGCTAACTTTCATAGCTAAGAACTTATAGTCTCCTGGTTTCTAGCCTGGTGCCTTAACTTCTGGATCAAACTGGCTCTCACCATGCTAAACATAATGAAATTATGTTCATGTCTATGCAAACTTTCACTGCCTTTTCCCGCTTAGTTTAGCTGGACATTACCTATATCTGAATATGTGTAACTAATTACAGATATATTAGTTAAGGTGCAGCCTTCTACTATTCCAGTTTCATACATTTTTATAGTCAGCAAGTAATATAAGCCCCACAAAACCTGTTTAATATTTGTACTCTGTCTGAATATAAAAGACATTATGCTGTTAAATGTATTGCTGAGTATACATGAAGAATATCAGGTCCCATCGTTTTAATAAAAATGTACTTGTAACTTTTTAATGTCATTAAGATAGGCCATAGTAACAGAATCTTTCCAGCATGTCTACAAGGGGAAACCAGATTGAACCTCTTAAGATTACTTCCTTTCCCAGGATTTAAGGAATATATGTGCCCTTGTTTCTGTATTGGTTAATGAATATTTCTTTCAAGGCCATCTCCATGGTTTTATGCAGCATCCAAAAAATACATTGAAGTTGGCTCTTCCGTAGAAAGCTACATTTAGTAGCATTTCAGACAAAAATTGAAACATATCCATATTATAGGAAGCATTTGCATGATCATTCAGAAGCACAAGGAGGCAGCTATGTTCCTTAATAATTATGTTAAAAACTGTTATCAATATGTGAATATAATACTTGTTTCTTTATGTGTTCTCTTGACCATTGGTTCACAGGATTTAATTTTATATATGACTTACAAAAGAGAACTCAAGAGAGCCATACTTTTATTTATATGTGTAGAAGATTTTTAGGTATAATATTGTATATATTCTAAAGATGTTTTTGCATGTATCTTGTACAGGTATAAAACTGTTTTATAATGTGGAAGGCCTTACACATAATGGAAGGTCAGAATGTACTAACATTCTGAAAATGGGATACTTATTGGGAGTTTTACCAGGTGGAACCCGAGAAGCACTGTTTAGTGATGAGAACTATGGCTTACTATGGGGTAGCCGGAGAGGCTTTGCTCATGTGGCTAGAGATGCAAAAGTGGTGAGTAGCTTTCTGCTATGCATAAAAAACATAATAAAGGTTACAATGGACACTTGATTAAATAGAAATATATTCCAACAATCATTAATTCAAACCTTCATGTCATCTACATCATTCCAGCCATTGAGCTAAGTTTTCTGCAACCCTCCTCCCCCCAAAAAACCAACAACAACCTGTGGATAACTTGGATGAATCGTGGGGTGAACATTTTTGCCTTTGGATAGTTATGAGCAGGGGTTGCTGCTGCTACTGCCCGTTTGCTCAGGGATAAGCTGCGCACGCTTGCGCTTGATGCACACTATGCACACATCTGCAGTACTAAAATGTTTCTGTGCATGCGCAGAAGCAAAAAACAAGATGGCATCGCCTATGGCACCTTGGAGAGAACCGGTTCGGGGTCATGGCAGGCTGAGTTACTACCTACTCAGCCGAACTGGGCCGAACCGGTAGGAACCCATCTCTGGTTGTGAGTCTTGGCAACTTGTACTTTAAAATGAACATAAAAAATTCAGAAACAGATAGATCTCCAAAAGAGAATAATAACTAAACAAAACAACAAAAACAACTTATAGAGGGTCAGCAGGCATACTGCTCCGAGGTCTAGGAAAACAGTAAAGCTTTTGGTGTTGTATGAAACATCATTATGATGAGGAGCCATATGGATCTCTTTAGAGATTGTCTTCTAGAAGGCAAATGCCACAACAGAGAAGGCATGATATTTTAGGTCCTGATAACACTGTTTAATTGAAGGAACCTGTAGTATGCCCAGCTACTCTGCAGATCTTACTAGATGGGCAGAAAGAATGGACAATAGTTCTGGCTGTATTCCGAACGGGCTCTAAAGATGATAATAGGCACCTTGAATTGCACCCCATGCACAGCAACCATGAAGTTTGTGGGTAGCCCACCACTGCCCATTCTAATGCACTGAACGGTCTTCTGAACGGTCTTTAATGGTACTCGGTTACTCCGTAATCCTACTGTGAGGATTAGAGTAGCGGTGAATATCTGGGATCCTTGGCAAACATTCAGGGGCCTTGTTCCACAAATTATGGATGCTATTGGGGGATGCTATTTCTTAAGTTGGCCACCAAGGAGAGGTCTATTAGGTCTATTAGGTTGTTGGTGTTGTTCCAGTCTCCTTGCTATGTAGCAACTTCCCTGACTGACTTCCTTGATTCTACTCGTGAGGACTGCTTGTGTGAGAGCTTGGGTATGATTGACTCGGAGGACCTGCCGGGATTTGCGGGGGTCACCGGGGTGGT